CAGGAAGAGCGCTTCTCCTCTCTCCTCGGCCCCTGCTGGCTCGCTCCAAACTGCTCGTGGTGTTCGGCAGGATTCGGGGCTCTGACTGGCCAGGCTGGGAGTGAGGTCAGCCCGCGGGGTCAGGGGGACAGAGTGGGTGGGGTGGGAAATCCGGAGGCCAGCTAGATGCCAGGCAGGGAGGTGTGGACAGCCGCCCACTTGCACGTCTCTTCAGCTGCTCGGGCAACTAGAAACGACAGGAGAAATCCGTTGGCAACTAGAAACGACAGGAGGAGCCCGTCGTTGACATGCAGACCCCTACTGGGACAAGAGCCTGCAAAGCACTCAGCTTGGGACTCCAGCAAGTGGGTGATCCATAAGTGTGGTGCCCAGCCTTGTAACTGCCCTCCTGGAGCCCCACAAGCTCGGCGTCCCCACTGACTGCTGGTGGCCCGGGGACAGGAGATGCACGTGAGAGACGCCACTGGTGCGGTCTGCACGCACTCGCCTATCACAGCCAAGTCTGAATCAGCAGCTGACGTGGAGCAAAGCCGGCCCCGCCTGGCGACCGACAGCAGGACCAAACTGTGGCCTCTTCCACTCCAGCCCGTCCTGCTGACGCCTTTCAAGGACCCTTTACAGGGGGGCCCAGAACGCAGGGGCAGATCAGGTGTGGATGGTGCAAGTGTCCCCCTTGGCACCTATTGACTCTGGGCCCCTTAGAGGAGCGAGCTGGCTCAGCAGCTGGATAGATTGGCTTTTCAGCAGCAGTGAGGGTGGGGACAGCAGAGTGAAACTTTGGGGGGCTTCTCAGAGCAGAGGAGTGGGTTGAAACTCCCGGCACGATTTCTGTCGCCTGGCAACCTGGAGCCAAGTTATTTGACCTTCCTGTGCCGTCTTTGCCTTACGAGTCAAATACAGCTTTTGCACTGATCATTCTTTCTAGCAGGGTCCCCCTTCCCGGCTCCCGGTTCAGTGCCACCTCCCCAGGGAGGCCTTTCCTGATCATCCCTCCCGCCCCTTCCAGCCGAAGTACATGCCTTCTCCAGGTTCCCATGGCAACGCTTTGGTTTAGTTCTGCTTGTTGTTGACCCTCCTTTTGGAGCCATAGGACCAACAGTATTTTTTGAAGTCTCAGAGGCATTAACTCATTTAACCTTCACAGTACCTCTGCCGTGTGCACTGTTGCTGACCCCATTATACAGACGGGAAAGCTGAGGCACGGGGAGATTAAGTAACTTGCTCCAGCCTGTAAGTGGAGCCTGGGTATGAGTGCAGGCCTTTGGCTCCAGAGAACATGCTCGTGACCCCTGTGCTGTATTTCTATATCCCGGGAGGTTAGTTCCCTCCTTTACCATGCTTTTTCAAGGTGTTTTTCAAGGATGGGGACTTTGGACCACAGGCGTACTAGCACAACCCCTGGCCCAGAACAGGGGCTCAAGAGATGTGTGTGGAATGAATAAAGAAGTGAATCCAGGGGCAGAAAGCCTGGATCTTGTCCTGCAGGGGTTGGGAGGCCCTGGAAGGTTTTAAAACAGGGTCCTGGTGACACCAGCGAAGCCATGCCTTCTCCAGGGCTTCTGTTGGGTGTGCTCTGTGTGAGCCCGGCCCTCGCTGGACCTAAGGATCGGGAGCCGGATGAGCCCCAGTCTGTGTCCTCTTCTGTGTCTTTAGGGCCTGGGGTTCCAGACAGAAGTCCCGCAGCACCCTCCTAAGGAAGGAAATGTAAGGCCACAGCTGGGGAGGAGACAGAGCCCCACCACTGTGTCTGCCCGGTGACCTAGTTTCCTAGCCACACTCACCCTTCTTAGCCAGTCTGGGTGGGCTCTGGCATGCTGACACAGCCCGGGTTATTTCCCTGTGGCGTCGGCATCCGTCACTGGCTGGCCAGGGGCTGTGCTCATCAAGTCTCCCAGGGACGAGACAGCAGGGGTGTCCTTTCCAGGTGGGCTCCCTGGGTCCCTGGGTCAAGGGAAGGCGCCATCAGGGATCATGGGGCTCCCATAGGGAGTGCCACGCACCCTTCTCTCACAGTGCATTGGCCATGTGGTCCCCTAACTGCCACAAGGGTGGGCAGCACTAATGACTCATCTCCTCACATCCCTTCACCCAGCAAGTCACTGTGTGTGCCGCTTAGCAGGATCCAGGGCACGTGCCCCTTCCATCAGCATGGAGCTCTGTGAGGGAGCAGGTGGGTCGAGGACCGCTGCCTGGCAGGCCCCCCATGAGCACACTCGGGGCCTCACTGTCCTGTCAAGGTGGGCGGGGCCAGCAAGGGCCTGACAGGCAGGGGACTCACACCGTCAGATGTCCAGTGCACTGGCTGAAGAGGATGGTGAAGGCTGGGCCATTCCCCTGCGTAAAGCCTTCCAGAGGCTTCCTTTGACAGCCATATTCATCCTGACCCTGGAGCTCCCGGTCTGGCCCGCACCCCCGACCCCAGCTCCTTACCTGCACCTCCTGCCGCCACATCCCTCCTTTCAGTTGCTCAGCAAGCTCCCGGTCACTGGTCAAGGCCCAGTGAGTTCAGATTCCTCTCTCCTGTGACCTCACTTGGAAACCTGCCAGGTGGAACCAGTCCCTCCCACATCGGGTTCAGACTCAGAGCTGGAGTCATCGGGTTCAAACTCGGGTCCACCAGCAATAATTGTCATCCCTACTCTGAGGCAGTGTTCAAAAATGGCTGCTTCTCCCCACCTCCTGCCTTGTAAGCTGGATGCCTGTGGGAAGCTCCTCAAGGAGCTCGCACTTCGGACCTAGCCTTGCTCTTTATAGAGCATGGTTCCCTCACTGCCCGATTCATAACACTCTAGGGCTTCTCATTGAACTCAGAGGAAGACCAGATTCCCCCTGTGGCCTGCACAGCTCCCCTCCCCCAGGGGCCCCTACTCTCAGCTGCCCTGGTGAATAGCTTTCTGGTCCTGGATCATGCAAAACCCTTTGTCACCTCAGGGCCTTTGCATTCACTGTTGCCTCCACCCAGAAAGCTCCCTAATGACTTAGGTTACTGCCCAGGGTCACCTGCTCAGAGAAAGCCTCTGATTCACCTGCAGGAGCCCCTCCTCTGCCCTCCAGCGATCATTCAGTCCATTTGTCTTTTAGACCAAGGATTAGAGCCTGCCATTGTAAGGTGTTCCTGACCAACCCCGGCTCTCTGCTGTCATCCTGAGCAGTACCTAGCAAAAAGTAGACTCTGGGTACTTAATCTGTGAAGAATCCGCATTCCATTGGCCCCTTGTAAGACTCTCCTTCCTGTGGTGTGTTCCACTCTCCTGCTGCATTCTGCTCCGTATCCTGCTGTCCGAGATGCTGTGTGACGTTGGTGTAGAAACACAGGAGGGGGCCTAGTGGGGAGGGCAGCCAGCCCCCCGGGGAAGCAGGCCGGGCCTGGATCTGGGCCCCCAGGCTGGGTGGCTGACACAGGGTGCCTGAGTGGGGCGGCCCAGCCCAGCTTTCCAGTCACGGCCACACAGGGGCACAGGCCCAGAAGTGCCAGATGGCCTGATTTTTCAAGAGAAGCCGGAAATCTGGATTCTGGTTTGAGCTCTCCCAATTTCTACATGTTGGCAACTCACTAGAATTCCTTTCGCTAATGTCGTGTAAGCGAAAGAAGAGACGTCTGTGGGCTTGCCGGGGTGACCTCTGACCTAGAAGTTGAGGAACAGGGAAGTGGGCACGGGCGGGGCCCCTTGGGGCTGGCGTGGAGCAGGGCAGTGAGGGAGCGTGAGCAGCCGAGGGGCTGGGGCAGCTCTTGGTTGGCTACCCCAGAGTCCTCGGGGAGGAATGGGGTATGTGACAGGGCTGGGGGAGCCGTGCCAGGACCCAGCTGGCCCGCAGCCGCTCCCTGCCAAACTCCTGAAGGTGATGTTAGGGTGTGTGGTTATCCTGGGGTAAAATTAGCAAGGTCACCTTGCAGCAGGAGCTCTGCTTTTGCTTGCAGGTAGAAATACAGTATGTGCTGGATGCTGCTGTCAGTCCAGAGCCGCATGGTTTATGGGGACAGGTGGATACCCACTCCCGCTGCCAGGCTGCTAGGGGATAGCAAAACACTGATCTCTACCTGCCAGGGCAAGCGGTGGGGCCCAGCTCCCCTCACCCCCTACACGGGTGCTGGGTACACCGCAAGGGTTCCACGGCTCCTCAGGCCCGTCTGAGGCTCTGGGGTTGTCCGAGGACACCTGCTTTCCAAGGGTCATACGTGCGGCCCCCTCACACCACCCTGTGAGGTCAGCCAAGCCTGTACCATGCCACAGACCAGCAAGAGGACAGAGGCCCAAAGGGAGGAAAGGGCCAGCCTGGACCCCTGCCGAGCCCCTGAGGGGGCCTCCCTCCACCACAGCCCAGCCGGGCCCCATGGCTCCCAGCGCAGGTGGACTCACTCAGCCCTGCAGGGCCAGCCCAGCCCTTCCCAGAAACCCCTTTGCCCAGGAAGGGTCAATGCTGCACCTTCACTTCCTCTCCTGTAAATTGGGGCTAGTCATGAGAACCTTCCACGGTGCTTTACTACACGCATCGTTCTAGGCACCTGACTGTTAACTCAGGCAGTCCTTACAACAAAGGTAGTAGAGGTTGCTGGCAAGGTCACGCGGCCGTCAGGCTCCTCAACAGCCCAGGTAACAAGAGTGCTGACGCCCAGGAGGAGTGTGAGAAGTTAGTGGGCGTAGGGTGCCTAGACAGCGGTGCTCAGAGTAAGGGCTCAGCGCGTGTTAGAAACGGTGATCAGTGGGCGGAGGGCAGGCCAGTTTGTGTTGGGCAAGGGGTTCCAGTCTGCCTGGCAGTGAAACACAGGACAGTGACTTCTACACTGAGGGGCGTTTGGGGCAGTGCAGAACACGAGGGGGGTGGGGACAGTCCCTGCTCCAGCTGATGGCCCAGTCCCAGCCTATGCCTAGTGCAGGGTCTGGGCAGTTCTGGGTTCCTCCGGCGGACCGGGACAGGGCACCTGGAGTACCCAGGGAGGAGGGCAAGCCAGGAGGGGTTGGGGCAGCCAGGGCTGAGCCTGTCTCTCGTCCCGCCCCTAGGAAGCCTGAGAAGGGCGTCCAGTACCTCATCGAGCGTGGCTTTGTGCCTGACACGCCAGTGGGGGTAGCCCACTTCCTGCTGCAGCGCAAGGGCCTCAGCAGGCAGATGATCGGCGAGTTCCTGGGCAACCGGCAGAAACAGTTCAACCGAGACGTGCTCGAGTGAGTTCTGGGGCTGGGGGGGTAGGGGTGTGGACCTGCACGCACGCGGTGTCAGGCTCACCCTGCTCGCTGGAACACACACCGAATCCTCCCCTTAGCTCTTTCTTGCTCCTGGACACGCACAGACACCCCACATGGTTTTGCACATCACACCCTGCCAGGCATACACGCGTGCCTCCACCCCCGGGCGCTAGAGCTCACACGCTGACCCTGCGGGGCCCCCCTGCACGCACCCTTGGCCCCTCCATCCCTCTCCAGCAGGGCCAAGCCACTACAGCACTGGGGGGTTGGAGGTCTGAGCTCAGTCCCCCAGCCTGACTGCCAACTGTCCTGACACACCCTCGGGGGCGGGGGGAGCCCAGAGAGACCCCAGTGCCTCCGTCCCCTGCGTCTCTCCTGCCTCTCCTGCCTGGGAGATCTGGGGGTGAGAGTCCAACCATGGCTGGCAGCCACGGCCCTCCCAGCTACTTGCAACTCTGCAGAAAACCCTGTTTCCAGCTCCCTGGGAACTGCTGAGAGCTTTGAGAAGCACTGTCCAGCTTGTACCCCAAGTTTGCCCATTCCTCCTTGAGACTGCCCTAAGTGGAAAGGCCCCCTGCCCTTGGACCCTTGGGTTTACAGAGCAGTTACTGTGTACGGGCCCTGTGTCGTCCTCAAACATGCAAGGGTGGGTGTCGGGTCTCGCTAAGCCCCTCTCACAGAGGAGGAGCCGAAGCCATGGGACAGGATGGAATAGGGCGGCTCAGGCCCCAGGGGAGCATCTCCAGTGAGGATATTTCTGACCAGGCAGCTACACACCGAGATGTAGGCCAGGAGCAGAAATCAAAGCGGGGTAAAGAGCGAACCATTAGTAACAAGGACAGTACCTTCCATCCGTCCAGCCCCGCCTCATCGGACGGAAGAACAAAGGCAAGGGGGTGGGCAGCGGGCCTTCTGGGGCCAGGCATGTCCGCCATAAGGAGGAGCCTGGCCACATGCGTGCCCGCCATGTCTGCACTGCCCTGGGAGGAGGTGGGCAGCTGCCCCAGCCTCTTATACAGGTGAGGAAACCCGGGCCCAGGAAAGGGCTGGCCCGGGTCCCCCCCACCCCCACACACGCAGACTCACATGCACACGTCTGTACCCATTCAGTCACACGTACACCCAGCACATGCGCAGACACACGGGTCACAGTGAGCCACGGCTTTCAGCGGCAGCTGAAGCTAACAGCCAGCTGAATGGCGTCTGTGCCCTTCCTCGACCCGATGTGCCCACCTGGGCTGCATTCTCCCTGCTTGCGTTTCTGTTCCGGCCCTCAGCGGGGAAAAGCCTGCTGCATTGTTCATATGGTTAGCGCCCCTCTCCGCCTTTTAAACCAGCGTCAGGAAGCAGTTAGGGGAAAGCAGATGAGGTCCTTAGTGAATTGGGCCTAAGACGGTCTTGGGCCAGCCCCCCACCCCCTGCAGCCATTCCTGCGCTCCCCCCAGGCTTCCCCCCGCCCCCCGCCCCAAGCTAGCCGCTGGTCCGTAGGAAATCCGCGCATTGTTCTCCCCCATCAGAAAATAGCAGCAGCCTCAGGAAGTAGCGATCCTCACCCCACCCCCACCCCCGACCCTCCACACCAGGCGTCCAGCTCAGATGCTAGTCAGCAAATTACCCTGTGTGGCCCCTGCCCTCCCCCAGCTGCTCTGCAGCAGCCTCCGAGGATGGGGGTGCCACAGTTAATGCCCAAGCCCAGAGCAAGGGCCCTGGCAGTGAGGATTAGGCCCCGCTATGGCCGAGGCCTCTGCAGCGCCACCAGGGGTGGCCATGGCTTTGTTACAAATAGATACACTGGAAACCACAGCCTGCTGAGTGGGTCCCTGGGGCAGACCCCACCTTCTCCGTTCAGGGGTCTGGCTCAGAGGACAAGGCATGGTGTGCCGGAGGGCGAGGGCAGGGCTGGGATGAGGGGAGCCAGACAAAACCCGCTCAGCCATTTCTGCAAGCCCCGCTCCACTTGACGGATTGGCAGATGAGGATGGCACAGGGCCTCCAAGGTGCCCCTTGAAAGACACCCAGGCCCCTCCATGTGGGGAGATGGGCTCAGTGCACAGTCACTGCCCGACCTTAGTGGACAGCCCCGACCTCCTGGGGAAGATGGGCGGGCTGTGCCGGCATCCCTCGCAGACAGCCCGAGAAGACTCCTGCCGTCACGTGCTGTTCTGTGCCCTGGGTCATGTGCACGCTGAGGGCCTGTATCAGGAACGGCCATAGGCCATAGGCTCTGGCCCCTCTGTAGAAAGCTACGCACAGAGATATGGGCACCAACATTTTCCTATAGTCTCAGGGGGTCTGTAGACTCCCCCAGAAGCACAGGGGTCTTTGGGCTGTGATCTGAAGTGTTTAGTGATTGGAGGAAGCCAGGCGGAGGGCCCTTCTGGACAAGAGGCGACCGGGTCCCCTGGCTCTGGGCAGCTCACGGCCTGCCCTGCATGGGCTTCCTTTGTGCTCTGCCCCCAACAGGAAGGCCAGCAGGGACTGTGCGGGCAGCAGACCCTCATGGGGCCTTGGTCTCTCGTTTCAGCTGTGTGGTGGATGAGATGGATTTCTCCGCCATGGAATTAGATGAAGCCCTCAGGAAGTTCCAGGCACACATCCGGGTCCAAGGGGAGGCCCAGAAGGTGGAGCGGCTCATCGAGGCATTCAGGTTGGGGTCAGGGCAGGGCATGGGTGGGTGTCGGGAAGAGGAAAGTTCCTGACTCTGAGGCCCATGGCTCAGGGCCGGAATCCCCCTCTCCAGCCCTGTCCCCAGGGCAGGGTCAGGTGGCCCTCAACTTGCCTGGGGAATGAGGCAGTAAGTAGCCCCTTCTGTGTGCCAGGTGCTGTGCTGGTTATCTCTAGAACCAGACTTTTGGACAGTCTGTGTTCCTCCGGGTCCTCATAAGCATCACTCTTCATGAGTCTGTGTCGTCATTGTCTGCCCATTCACAAAGGGCAGCCCATCTCCCACAGTAACTCAGAGCACAAGCTGCAGAACCAGATGGCCTAGCTCTAAACACCCATTCTATCACGTACTATGTGACTTTGCATGGGTAACTTAACCTCTCTGTGCCTCACGTCCTTGCCTATAGCGTGGTGATCACAAAAGCACCTACCTGGTGGAAGGACTAAACCACTTTGGGCGTGTGGGCACACTTAGCCCAGTGCCTGGCACAACAGAGAGCCCACAATCAAGGTCAGCTACCCACCCCACAGTCATTCTTCCCAGGACTGTGTGCACAGTGGCTGGGTAAGATCCTCCATGCCCACGCTAGGTGTGGGAGACACGAGTCAGCCACTGACCCAGCCCTCAGGGCTCATCACCAGTGGTGGGACCAAGGTTGGGAATGAGGACACAACAGGAGGACAACTCTGGGGCCCTGGGAGGGGGTTGTTCAGGCACTTCCTTCCAGGAGGGCTTCCTGGAGGTGGCGGCACTAATGGAGAAGACAGGAGTGAAGCCCATGTCGTCTGAGCTCCGATGACTCCTGCCTTAGTCATGGTGCCCCATGGTTCCTCTTCTCCAGTTTGCCCCCCTCACCCACCCCCTACCTGAGCCAGGCTCCTTTCATCTCAGGGTCCCAGGTAGCATGTCCGACAACCGCCATCACATCCCTGTTCCAGGCAGGGGAAGAGAGTGGACTCTGCCCTTTAAGGTACATCCTTAAAGGTGCCCACATCCCATCTGCTCATACCCCACTGGCCCGAAGTTGGTCACCTTCTGGGCTGCATCCAATTCCGAGGAAGCAGCAGCCTCAGGAAGTAGCGATCCTCACCCCACCCCCTATCGCCAGCTAGAGGACAGATGGCTGAGTTGTAACTAGCGTAAGGAGGAGCAGGTGTTACCCCCATTGACCAGATGTGCAAACCGAGGCTCCGAGGGCAGTGGCCAGCCTCAGCTGTTTAGTGCCGGGGCCCGGGCAGCGGCAGCCGTCCTGAGGGAGGGGCAGACCTGTGTCCTGCCTTGACTGAAGAGGTCCTAACCCTGCTCCCTCTCCCGGCCCCCAGCCAGCGGTACTGCATCTGCAACCCCGGGGTGGTTCGGCAGTTCCGGAACCCAGACACCATTTTCATCCTGGCGTTCGCCATCATCCTGCTCAACACAGACATGTACAGCCCCAACGTCAAACCTGAGCGGAAGATGAAGCTGGAGGACTTCGTCAAGAACCTGCGAGGTGAGCCGGCCTGGGCCCGGGGCTCTGGCGTACAGCCGTCCCTCAGAGCACGTGCCCAGCCAGGCCACAGGCAGAGCCGGGGGGGGCTGGGCTCCCGCACCCCCCGTCCTTCCACAAACACGGCACAAATGACCCTGAGGAGTGCTGACAGCCATGACAGTCAGCGACACGCGCAGTGGGAGCACAGACTGGGTCTCGTGGTGCCACGAACCTCACTTGTGGAGGAAGGACGCACAGGGGTTTGACAGGTGGAGGTGGAGAGGGGGCGCCAGGCCTAAGAAAGTTCGGCCCAGCATGGGAGGGCCCGCTAGGGCCAGATCGGGGGATGTGAAGGAGCAGTCTGGAGCCCGGGTGCTGGGTACCCCGGGCAGGCGGGGCTGGCCCACCCCGTCCCCGTCACTGCTTGCCTCCCTCTCCTACGCTCCACGTTCCTTGTGAAACCGACTTGCCTGTGTGTGTGTGTGTGTGTGTGTTTTAGAGGAACTTTCCATCATCGCTATAAACAGGAAGCCCGTATCATTTGGCACACTTAGGCAGTCACTATAAAAATGAATTCAGTGGACGAAAGCACCAGAGCTGCTTCTGGCCGGGCCCCAAGGCTGAGGTGCTAAGGTGGGCAGGGGGGAAGGGAGGCCTTCCTGGTGTCATTGTGGAGGAAAGGCATTGAAAAGGGGACAGCTGTCTCCCAGGTGGCACTGTGTTAGCTGGATAGCATGTCCTCGTGTACCTAGAGTCTCTGGAAGGAAGAGGAGGGACTATGTCCCTCTCCTGGGGAAACTCCAGCTGCAGCGGGCTGAAGTCCCCTTAGAAAGGGTGTCAGGTGTTTGGTACGTATACGTATATGTGTGTGTAGATATATGCACGCACACACATACATTTTTTTTAGAGAGGGAGAGGGAGGTAGGGGCGGAGGGAGAGAGAGAATCTTAGCCAGGCTCTGCGTCCAGCATGGAACCCAACATGGGGCTCAATCTCATGACCCTGAGATCATGACCTGAGCCAAAATCAAGAGTCAGACACTTAACCGACTGAGCCACCCAGGCACCCCTGAGGGTGTCATGTTTTTAAAATAGGAAAAAGCTGGTTTAAATCAGGTCCCAAGTTTGTGAGCTTGTTGAGCCATTTAAATGTACTCCTCTTGTCTTTTTTTCCTACAAAGCCCCTGCTCTGTCATCCCCTCTCCTAGGACAGGAGGACCCTCCTGGGATTTGAACTGTCCTAGCACGCCCCCTGGTGGTGGGCACCCCTGCAACAAGCCGGCTAATGGGATGCCCACCCAGAGCTGGCCGGGCTGCCCCCTGTTCCCAGCTGGGGAGTCAGGGCTTGGTTCAGACCACCCAGATGATGGCCATTCCCTGCACTGAGCACTCAAGGTGTGTGGCCCTCTGCTAGGTCTAAGGGGTGCTGTGGGCCCCAGGGAATTCAGGTCTCAGCTAGAGCTTCTAGGAAGCTAAGGAGTCTAGGAACTTCCTTAATCGCAAGTCAGCACCAGAGCACAAGAGCGCGGCCAGCAGATGCTTTTGATGTGCACGCAGGGATGTGTGCTCCTCTATCAACCCTAGACCTCGCCCCTCACAGGGCTGAGCCTGATTCTGGTCTTCACAGAATCCTCTGTGGCCCCAGGGTGCAGAAAGCAGGCTGTACACGACATGCTGCTGGCGACCCCGGGGGAGTTTAAGGGTCTTTGTGATTTGACTGTGATTTTTTTTTCTGCCTGGAAACCTCACCCACGTAATTGGGACACCCCGCCCCCCACCACCGCCCAGTATGGGGAACCACAGGGGGAGCCAGAAATGATTAGCCAAGAGGAAAGAAAGCCAGGGGAAGGATGGGGTTGCTGGGTCAGATACTGCCAGGCAGCCACCCTCATGTCAGTGGCCCTGTGGTTTGTACCACCCTTGCATGTGACCATTCCAGCAGTCTGGGGCAGGGGGGTTGGGCATTATCATCCCACTTCTCAGTGGAGCAAGCTGCTGGTTCTCTCTTCTAACCCTGGGCCGTTCCCACCAAATCCCATCTTTTCCAGCCAGGAACTCGGGAGTGTTCTGTTCCATCTTCCTTGTGTTCCAGAAGGGTAACCGAGGCAGAGAGGGAGGGGATTCGCCCAGGATCACACAGTAGGTGCATGACAGTGGGGGGAAGGCCTCTAGTCTCCCCAAGCCCACCTGGTGCTCTGCACTGGGTGGACATCCAGCTTGTTCTTTATAGAGGAAACCTTCCCCCCCACCCAACCTACACTGGACACATTTTCTCTGGAATTGCTCACCCCAGTTCACCCAGTAGGTCCAGCAGCAGGACCACCTCTGGGGGGTTGGAAGATGGGTGGGGGAGGAATAGCTCACCAGCATGGAAGCCGGATGAGCAATGCTTTTATTTTATTGATATTTGTTCTTAAATTCTCTAGATTGATTTTTTTGAATGGGTATTATCCTCACATAGTTAAAAAAAAAAAAAAAAAAACAGAAAGAAATAATAGCCTAGCAATCACGTTCCTTGCTATTTACCCAAAGGAGTTGAGAACATATGTCCACACAAAAGCCTGCACACGGATATTTATAGCAGCTTTATTCATTGTTGCCAAAACTTGAAGCAACCAAGATGTCCTTCAGTAGGTGAACGAATACATAAACTGGCACCTCCAGACAAGGGACTATTATTCAGCACTAAAAAGAAATGAGCTATCGAGCCATGAGAAGACCTGGGGAAGCCTTAAATGCATATTACCGAGTGAAAGAAACCAGTTCTGAAAAGGCCACAGCTATATGACATTCCAGAAAAGGCAAAACTATGGAGACATAAAAGATCCGTGGGTGCTGGGGGTTGGAGGGAGGGAGGCACGAGTAGGTGCAGCCCAGGGGAGTTTCAGGGCAGTGACGTTCTCCCGTCTGACTCCACGATGGTGGGTATGCGCCATTAAACATTTATTATCGAATGCACAACACCAAGAGTGAATCCCATGTAAACTGTGGACTTTGAGTGAATGATGTGTCAGTGTAGTTTCACTGATTGTAATAAATATACCACTCTGATGGGGGAGGTTGGTAGTGGGATGCGGGGGAGGCAGGTGTTATGGGGAAATCGCTGTGCTTTCCCCTCAATTTTGCTGTGGACTTAACTGCTCTAAAAATCAGTTCTAGGGGCGCCTGGGTGGCTCAGTCGGTTAAGTGTCTGCCTTTGGCTCAGGTCATGATCCCAGGGTCCTGGGATCAAGCCCCGCATCGGGCTCCCTGCTCAGCAGGAAGCCTGCTTCTCCTTCTGCCTGCCACTCCCCCTGCTTGGGCTCGCTCTCTCTCTGACAAATAAATAAAATCTTGTAAAAAACACATGCAAAACAAAAAACAGTTCTAAAAAAATAGTCTGTTAAAAAAAAAAAAAAGTAGGAAAGGTCTGTGGCGGAGCCCCTCCCACCCCTCCGTGTGCCCAGGTCATTCAGTCCCTGGTATACCGACCAGAGCCCCTCTGCTCGCGCAAGTACTAACGTGCGTGACTGGTTTTACCCTCGTCTGTTTGGCACCTTGCTTTTCTCATTTAACAAATCTAAGAGAATGTTTCCATGTCAGTTCCCTATGGCCTTGCTCATTTTCCTGGCACATGTGTGGTATTTCATTGCCCTCCTGTGCAGTGATGTATTAATCAGTCTCCTATCAATGGGTAAATGGGTGAATTCCAGTCCTCTGCTATTTGGAAACCATGCTGCAATGAGTCACCTTTTTGCGTATCCTGTCCCGTAGGATAAATTCCCCCCAAACGTAATCAGTGGCCCAGAGGGGGTTTGAGTTTATAATTGTGACAGGCAAGTGGCCCAGCTCAGGGACGGACCCACGCCCCGGTCCCACCAGCAATGTGCGAGAGGCCCCTTCCCAGAGCTTCGCCAACAGCACCAGTTACCAAACCCCTGGATTTTCGCCAGCCTGCGGTCTGAGGTGTGGGTTTGCGTTTCTCTCCTGAGTGGGGCTGAGTTTTCCTCACAGCAGTTTTTCAGGGTTTAGCAGAAAGGGTACGTGCCTGTTGTCAGAGCAACCCGGGTTCAAAGCCGGGCCCCCAGCTTCTGCGCACGTGACGTGAATGACAGCTAGCAGCAGGTGCACGGAATTCTCACTTTCTGGGAAACACCAGGGCTGCTCTGGCTTCCCCACAAGATCTCCGGGAAGCCACCGGTGGTGCTCTTGGTGGTCCCCTTCAGATAGGACCCTCTGTCTGTGAGTCCCCCTGTGAGCCCCCTGCCTTCCGAAGGCCAAGCTGCTCTCAAAGCCCATGGCAGGACCCTCCCTGCCTGCCATGACACTACCCAGCACATCCTGGCCCCAGCTCAGAGATTCAGTCACATGGCTAGTCAGGGGTGAAGCAAGAACTTGGGCGCAGCCCTGTTAGCAAGCTGATATGCATAAAGCCCTCGGAGCATGGCTGTGCTGGCCTGGTCCTGGTGGAAGGATTCTGAGACACTTTGTAATGGACTGAAGATGTTCAGAGGCTGTGGGTTCTGCTGAGGACTGGGGAAAGGGATCACCATTCTAACTGGGTTTAGAAACTGGTAAATGAGGGGTGAGCCTGGGGCCCGAAGCTGAGTGCGGCCACCGCCACCCAGGCCCTGGCCCTCCCTGACACCTGGCTGCCGTTCTCCTGCCCAGGTGTGGACGATGGTGAGGACATTCCCCGGGAGATGCTGATCGGGATCTATGAGCGCATTCGCAAGCGGGAGCTGAAGACCAATGAGGACCACGTGTCCCAGGTGCAGAAGGTGGAGAAGCTCATCGTGGGGAAGAAGCCGGTATGTGGTGACCCAGCGTCCCCGGCTCCCTCACTCCCACCCACCCCCACTCCATGTGACCCCGGGCCCACCTCACTGGCTTCAGCTTCGGACAGCGGCCTTGATGCCATTTGGAACCCAGCCCCTTAGGGGCAGGGTGGCGGAATTACTTCAGGTGTAGGGTGGCCCCTGCTATTTGGGAATAACAACCATTGGCTCTGGGTTCTATTTAAAGAGAGCCTGCGGCTCTTAAGAAACCAACAGCCAGAGTTGTGCAGTGGTCTCTTGGTGGCCCGGGAATGCCTTCATTGCTCCCTCAGAGTTCTGGCTGCGAGAACTGTGTGTGGCATGTCTGGACAGAGGACATGGGAGCCACAGGAGGGGTGCTTACCTACTTGGATGTCGTCCTGTCAGCTCTCTCCAGGCCCAGGTGCATTTTTTGGATCATTAATACCTTTGTTTGTTTCATGTTTCCCGCATAGATTGGATCCTTGCATCACGGGCTTGGCTGTGTGAGTATCCTTCCGCTTTTACATTCTGGCTGATATCCCGCCCTGGGGGTGGCCCCCGTGTCCTTTGTTCACATCACTGCCTCCCCTAGCTCCCAGGTCTACAATTCTGACTGCTTGAATTAATTTCTGGAGCGCTAAGAAATTTGATTTTCATAATTATCCCAGCCTCGAATCTCCGCAGGCCCAGAGACTGTGGCCGCAGGGGGCGGGTTGTGCCATCAGGCCAGAGCAGATAGTCTCCTTCCCTCTCATCCGAGCCCGGCTGAGCACTGAGGCCAAGGCTTGTCCCCAGACCCGGAGGCACTGTGCCTGAAACAGACGCTCCTTCCCGCCCCACCCACGCTCTGCCCCCTGACATCCACTGCCACGGCCTGGAGCAGGTTTGCCTGCTCACCCCAGGAGCACCTGGACACACAGCTAACCTGGCAGTCACGTGGCACATGCCTTCTGTGTCTGCCTCTCCTCGCCAGGCAGCCCCGTGCTGCGAGAGTCAGCGTCACAAACCTGTCCACTCCCCCCTCTTCCCAGCTTCCCCCAGAGGGAGACCGCTGGATGCTGCCATGACCATGACCTGCCCTCACCTGCCTCTCCGGCCCCACCTCTCACCATCCTCTCCCCTTGGTACTTTTGCTCCAAACAGGGCCGTTCCCTGAGCGCGCCCAGCCTGGGCCATGCACTCTCTCCCCATCTGAGGACTGGGGAAAGGGATTGCTATCCTGTGTGGGTTTAGAAACTGGTAAATGAGGGGTGTGCTGAGCTTGGGCATCCCTGCACCAGGGGCCCTGTTGCACAGTGGACCCTCCCTGCCTGCCATGACACTACCCAGCACGTCCTGGCCCTTTACTAACTTGCTGTCTCTTGTGTGAGCCTGGGTGCTCTCAGAGCCATGACTGGGCCTCCCAGGTGGCTTGTCACCACAGCCCTTAGACACTGTACAAGTTGCACCTGGCCTTGAGAGCAGCTTGGGCTTCGGCAGGCAGGGGGCTCACGTGAACCCATGCTAGGCATGTTCAGAGTGGAGGCCCAGGCCAGGCCCCACAGAGTGGTGGCAGCTGGCTCAGGACTTGGGACAGGGTTTTTCGGGCATCAGAACCGTCGGGATTCTCTAGGAGGGGCCCGGAATCTGCTTCCGGCTCTACACCTTCCCTGTTGTGTGGCTGAGGCAAGTTGCTCAACCTCTCTGTGCCTCAGTTTCCTCATCTAGAGTAGACACTTTCTGAAGAAACCTTGACAGAGACTACCGGGCTTATGTCTGTGACGGGCACTTTATGGGGACTCAGGGATCATGAATTTCTCACTGTTGGGGGGGGGCGGCTACCATGTGAGTGTGATGCTCTAAGAAGTCTGGGACCTGCCTGAAGGAAAGGAAAGGAAAGGAGGTGTCACGAGAAGCAGGGGAGCTTTCCACGGCCCTTCAGGAGAGCTCCTGAGGAAGAGCAGGGGAGAACTGCTAGGAGTCCAAACACGTCTGCTCTGCTGTGCACGGTTGGTGGGAGAGGGCGTTCTCGAATGCCAGGCCCACAGGCTGGGTTCCGAGTGTGCTGCCTGGGCTCCAGCCGAGGGGCAGGGGGCTGACTGACAGCAGTGCTTCCCTCCCCACACAGGTGCTCTCTCTGCCCCACCGGAGGCTGGTCTGCTACTGCCGGCTTTTTGAGGTTCCAGACCCAAATAAGCCCCAGAAACTTGGACTGCACCAGCGAGAAATCTTCCTGTTTAACGACCTCCTGGTGGTATGTGGTTCCCCACAGCATGCCGTGGCTGGGAGAGCGGCTCAGGGCAGCCTCGACCTGCGCCTCTGGTCTCTGTGTGGCCATGTCTGCCGGTGCTCCGGAAAGGCACCCGTGGGGGTGGGGTGCGGGTGACAGGGCTGGACTTAGCCCCACGGTCTTTGGGTTAGCAGAGGCAGAGTCTGACTCCCAGCACTGCCAGTGAGCACAGGGCTTCACTGGCTTCTGGAAAAGCCCAGAGGGGTATCTGGGCCTTCAGCCCCAACTGCTCCCGGAGGCTCCCACTGTGTCAGCAGGACTCCTCTTCGGACTGTCTCTCAGCTGTGTGGGTTCCCTTCTGTCCAAGAAGGGAATGTCAGCCTTGGCAGCTGCAGGCCTCACCTGCCCCCTTTCCTTGCATCCCCGGCCAGTGGGATTCTCTTCGTAAGAGCCCGAGCCAAGGTCTCACTGCATCCCAGGCCCGTGCCCAAGCCACTCCTGGGGGCCAGGCAGGTGCGGTGCTTTCTCATTGGCTAAGCCTGGGTCACTGCCCACCCCCAGGACTACTGAACTGAGGGTGACAGAGAGGGAGTTCCCCAAAGGGAAACTGAGGAGCTCCTGCCCGGAAAAAAGGTGGCATGGGTGGTGCTAACCCCTGGGGATAAAGATGCCCCTGCAGACAGTAGGGCGAACCTGTCCTTTGGGTCTCTGTCTCTCTCCCGCATGCCACAGGTTTTTTGCTAGAGGCCCTTGTCCCTGATCCCTACCTGCTTGAGAGTCAGCTGTTCCTCTCTGATTACTGAGCCTGGAATCTGGACCTGTGGGTTTCCAGTCCTTTGTTAAGAGTCCCTGACCTCAAGCAAGTTACTTCAAACTTCTGAGCCTCCATTTTTCTCCTCCAAAATTAATCTTTCAGGCAGTTACAATGCTCAGGTGGGGTCCTGGGCATAAGTGCCCGGCCCGGCGCCTTCAGGGTCCTGTGCCATGCCACCATGCCCATCACCTCTCTGCTAGCTTGAGGGGTGTCACTGCCAGCTGGGAAGACACCTGGGACTTGTAGGATCAGAGCCAGCATCCCTGTCCAAAGATATGCATGGGCACACAGCCCTCTCTCCTGCCCCAGAGGCCTCCCTGACCTCTGAATTGCTGAAAGCATTCTGACATTAGGCCCACTTAGAATCCTGAGCTCCCAGAGCTGCATCTGTGCAGTGAACATGATGGGACTCAGCCTCTGTCTCCGGCTACCCCCAGGTTACCAAGATCTTCCAAAAAAAGAAGAACTCCGTGACCTACAGCTTCCGACAGTCCTTCTCCCTGTACGGCATGCAGGTCCTGCTCTTCGAGAACCAGTGTAAGTCTGTACTGGGGGCCTGCCGCGGCCTGGCCACGAGCGTGCGCACTGGGGCGCTCATCCACGCATGGCCGTGCGCCATGTGGCAGGAGACGGCGTCGCAGCTCTCGCCCTGTAGTCAGGAAGCGCTGCGCTCCCCAGCAATCTCCCCTTCCGCCCGGTTCCCGAGGACAGACCCCCAGGGTGGCGCTCCCTCGCATGCTCTTACTCCCACGTCACCAGCCTGGGTTCACGTGCTGCTCTCACTCGCAGTGGCTGTGTGGCCCAGCTGTGTAACCTCTCCGGGCTCCAGTCCCTCTGTCTATGAAGTGCCTACCTCATAGACTCAGCTCAGTCCATGCACGTGAAGTACTTAGAACAGCTCCTGAAACAGGATTTGTTCTTAGCTGCTACTGAAAAGTCTCCTCTGGGTATGAGTGGGCCGTGGGGCCTAGGGATTTTGGGGGGGAGCTCATACCCCCACTGACTTCTTCTGTTGACCTGGTCCTTCTCCAACACCCAAGCCCTTCCCTTTTCCTCTCTCCCTCTTTGTCCTGTCCTTGTTGGGGGTCCCTGAGCTGCAGGCTGAGCCAGGCCTCCTGAGACGGGGGTAGGGGTTTGGTCCCGCTGCCTTGCCCATTCTGAACCGACCCAAGGGGAGGCCTGCGCCTGTGGAGTGTCATGGTATCTCCAGCAGCAGGGAAGCCCTCGTCCTCTCGGACAGGTCACCAAGCCACCATCTGATCAGCTGTCCATCTGCAGGTTGAGAAAGTACCAGGGACCTGTGGCTGGGCCATCCCAAACCCTGGGGCCTGAGGGCTTGGATTTGGGGCTCTTGATCCCTTCTCTGTCCCAGATGGAACTGGCACCTGCTGTGTCCCCAACCCTGCCATCTCTCCACCTCCTGCTCTGTCTACCACATCCCAGGCCAGGAAGCCTGCCTTGCCTCAGTTTCTACCAGGTGGCCCCAGGGAGGATGGCGCCATCCCACATCACCCTGAGCAGCAGGCCCCCTCTTGGAAGGAGTGGCAGTGATTGTGATGCTCACAGCAGTGGGCCCCACCAGACTGAATCCTCAGGCAGAAGCTGCGCCATCATCACTTTTAGATTCCCAGGGTTTAGCCCTCAGTCCTGGACACAAGGCACTGGCAGGAGCCCCAGAGCTGACACTGACATTTCTATGGGACATTCCTTCATACCACGGATCTTAGAGTGGTGGCCTTCGATCAGTCCCAGCTCAGTTATATTATAGTCCATTTATAGATTTATTTTTTAATTCATTGAGCTGATACTTAAATCTTCACATTAAACTTTTAGTTATTTTTGACTTCTCTTAAAAACTGGGATTTGGCGTTGCTAGGCCCGCATTCCCATGTGGTGGTCTTGGGCTGCACGCCCCTCTCCCTACTCGCTCTGTTGCTCTTAGGTCTCATGTGGTTTGCTTCCTGCATTTAGGGAACATGTTTGGGCCTCTAGGTATTTGAGTACCCAGCCTTGACCGCGAGGTCTGAGCAAAAGTGGGATCGGTGTTTGAGCCCAGAACCTGCAAACACCCACTGAGGGGAGAGGTGCTGCCAGAGGACCAAAGCCACAGAGACCCCATGAGCTCCGAGGTGGCACCAGACAGGTCTGAGCAGAAGGCATGGCCCTCAGCGTAGAGTGCCTTGGGCATGGGGCACCCAGGATGCATCCAAGGAAACTGAGGGTCTAGAGGCCATTTGGTAGAGAACAGAGCTCAGCGTACCCTCAGAATTGTCTGAGGTGACCAGATAAAACTCCCCACCCAGCATAGGACGCTACCTCTGACTCCTCCTGGACTCCACCCCTAGCCACTCTCTCAAACTTCAGGCAGTGACCAAGGACGTTGAATTGAAGGGTCCAGTCTCCATGACCTTCAGGCTGAGGAAGAATGGGGGCCGTGGCCTCTGTCTAGATCAGCCCTATCTGCCCCCAACTTATAGACGGAACAACATGGACCCAGGTCGGGAGATGGGGATTTCCTGGCAGTCCCTGTGGTCTGCGCTGTGGATGCCTTTCCTTCCCGGCTGGACACGTCCGCTGAGAGCCTGGCTCTCAGACTTCTTAGTATTTTCTTGACCAGAAGGGAGATTGCAGAGATCACATGGGGACCCATGGGTTCTTCTCCTCTCCTCCTCCTTTGCAGACTACCCCAATGGCATCCGGCTCACGTCTGCTGTCCCCGGAGCAGACATCAAAGTGTTAATAAACTTTAATGCTCCCAATCCTCAAGACCGGAAGAAGTTCACCGATGACCTGCGGGAGTCCATCGCGGAAGTGCAGGAGATGGAGAAGCACAGGATAGAGTGTAAGTTGCAGGCCCCCTGGAGAGGAAGAGCCAGTAGCATCTCTGGGGACTCTGTGAGGCCTCGCCTGTCCTTCCCACGGCCCTGTGACAGGACAGCCCACCTGCCCGGGCCAGAGGTGGCAGCATGGGGAGGGCAGCTGAGGCCTCCCTGTGAGAGCCGGGGCTTCAGCGGCCCAGGCCCATCCTGCCTGTGGGACCACGCGGCATGTCCTTCGAGGGCCTTAGTTCTCTGGTCACCCCATGAGACAAGCGTTCCCGGAGTTCTGGAGTTGAGCTCTTTGCACTTCAGTGTGGTTATTATTTGTCTGTCTTCCGCATCAGGGCCCAAGTGACTGATGGGATCACAGCCGAGCCCATCGCCTGGGTTCCATCAAAGCTGATTATAATCCTTCCCTCTCCTGGCGCCAAGCCTCGCTCCCTAGAGACACATAGCTACCCCCATCCAGGGCAAGGCCAGGTTACCCCTTGCTTATCTGCAGGCCCAGGCCAGTCAGTCTCCTTGTCGGCCCTCAGGCCTGCAAAGTGACTATCTTTCCTGCAGACCCAAGACCCACGCCTCTCCAGCCTCCCTTCCAGGGTTTCCTTCCAGCTCCCTTTTGTGAAAGGCAGCATTCATACCTTCTCTTTCCCAAGACAGCCCTGGGCCCCGACTTCTCCCCATGCCAGGCAGACGGCAGCTGGGCCTGCTGCCAAGCCTGCACAGAGGGCCCTGGTCCCGTGCCCACCCCGGGCTGTCCCCTCAAGGCTGTGCTCCCCTCACCGGTCCCTCGCCCCCTCTGTTTTAGCGGAGCTCGAGAAGCAGAAGGGCGTCGTGCGGCCCAGCATGTCCCAGTGCTCCAGCCTCAAAAAGGAGTCGGGCAACGGGACGCTGAGCCGGGCCTGCCTGGACGACAGCTACGCGGGCGGGGAGGGCCTCAAGCGCAGCGCCCTCAGCAGCTCCCTGAGGGACCTCTCGGAAGCGGGTAAGAGCCGGGCCGGGTCCCCCTTCCTAGCCCAGCGCCTGCGGGACTCGGACCAGGCAGCTGGGGCACGCGTGGTGCGCCGGGAAGGGCCTGCAGTGGCGGCCGGTGGTGGCAGCAGGGCTCAAACGGAGCACTTCCGGTGACCGTCCCCAAACCGTAGCAACATCTGACCACGCAGAGTGGGCGTCCCCTGAAGGCCAGAGGCAACAGGACCCACTTGTTAAGGCAGAACAGCCAGGAGGTTACCCCCGTTCTCCCTTTCTCCTTGTAGGGGTTTTGTTTATTCTTTTATTTGTTTTCCGGAAACTGCTCTCACACAGAGCGAGCCAGGCCCCGCTGATGGATGTGTCCCTTGTCCTCTGTGCTGCTGCGTCCCTGTGTTTTATGCTGATGAATGAAATGGAGTGAAGCCCCCTAAACTGTGTCTGGAGACCCCCTCTCCCCGCTGTCCCTGGTCTTGCTTCCCTCACAGCGGTCTCCCTTCTTGGGAAACCCAGGCCCCCATCCAGCCCAGAGCCGGTGGCTGCAGCTGCCCCTGGGATGTCGGGGGGAGAGCCCTGGCAGAACTGTGATTTTTGTTGTTGTTTCTTTGTTTCTGTGTGTGTTTATTTGCTGCCAGCCTCTTAATACCCAAGCAAGCAGCATCTCTTCAAGCCTCCCAGATTTCCCGGGGCGGGGGGTGCACGGAGAGCATCAGGGGGCTTCTGCTGGCGGCCCTCACCTGGCCAGGTCCTCTGAGCGAGTGTTGCTCCAGGCTGCTTGGCCCACAGCACCGTCAGAGGAGTCGTGGAGGACGGCCCCCGCCCCCTGTTTAGCCAGGCAGCTTCTCCTAGGAGCCTGATTATAGGCCCTGGTTTGTTGGAGAAGACCCCATCGGGCCGCGATCAGCCCCCTCCCCTCCTGGGGGCTCACCAGCCCACCGTGCCTCAGGCACTACCCCGCGGCCAGCTCTGGGCCCTGCAACGGGAGCCTGCCCGGGACCCCATCCTTCCCCTGCCCCACCAGCACTGCTGCCTCCCTGCAGCTTAGTCATTGCCCAGAAATTTGTTTTTTCTTCTTTTCTTTTTTTTTTTTTTGAGTTGGATTTTTTTTTTCCTTTGCCTTTTTTTGTCTTGTCATATTTTTTTTTTCCATAGTAAAAATCAGAAATCCATTGCCAGCATGAGGGTTAACCCAGAGTTTCTCAACCCCTGCAGTCTTGACGTTTAGTGCTGTGGGGGACTGTCCTGTGCCCTGCAGGATGTTTAGCAGCATCCCTGGCCTCTACCTACGAGATGCCGGGAATACCTCCCTCGGTCATAAGAGTCAGTAATGCCTCCAGAAATTTCCAGGTGTCCGCAGCGGGGGTTGGGGGGCGGGGGACACAAAAATCACCCCTGGTTGGCAAAACTGCCCCTGGTTGAGAACCACTGGTTTTCCCTATGGCTTGTTAAACCCAGCTAAACAGAACTGGACTGCTCTGGGCCTCTGCAGGCTGGGGGCTGGGGCCTCTGTTTGAGTTTGTGCAGTGGGTAAGCCCTGGCCTCTCTGTTCCCTGATGCAGTGCCCGGAGGGCTGAGGGGTCTTGTCCAGCCCCTCAGGGTAACTGTGGCTCTGTTGAAACTGAGGCTCCCACCATGGCCGGGATGGCCCTCATGACCAGCCACATCTCTTCCTGCTCCTGGGGGTCAGGGAGAGCCGCATGCCCAGGCCCATGGCCACGTGAGAGACAGAGCTCTGAGATTCGGCTGCTTTCCATTTATTGTTCCTGTTGCCACTGTCATTTGGGCATTCTGAGCTAAGAAGAACTCTAGGGATGGAGTCTTCCCGGGAGACAGTGAAAAGAATCCGCAGGGAAGAAAGCCCCCTCTACCCAGGAAGCTTGGAGGGCGAGGCAAGGGGTGTAGGAGTGCTGGCAGCTGCCCTCGCCCCAGACTAGGAATGGGCCACCTGGGATCTCCAGGGGGAGATGGGCCGGTGTCGGCAGCCATCCCGGAAGACGCTGGGCGCAGCGGCTGGAGACAAGGAACCCCTTGTCCTGCACTGGGTCGGGCTGCTGCTTTCCGGAGGCAGCGTCACTGCACCCATCGTGGCCCTCACCAAGATGAGCTCGTGGAGAAGAGGCAAGGCCTCGGGGCACTCAGCGCTTGGCACGTCACCACTCCGAGAGCAGCTGCGAGAGAGTGACCTACGATCACACAGCATCCCAGGAGACGACACACCTCAGACGGAGACCTTGGAGACCCAAGAGGCAGTTACAGTTTGGCCCGCGAGGAGACCTCTAGGAGCCCCTGACGTTCTCAGAGCTGCCCAACACCTCCCACATGGTCTTCCTTCTCCCGGGACCCCGTGCTCAATTCAGTGGCACCAGAGTCCTGCCGGCCTGAGATCGAGGACCTGCAAGGACCAGGGACACAGGTGTGACTGGGCCTTAGCCCCTGGCCCAGATCAGTCAAGTCATGGTGGACACTCTCCCCAAGCCCCCCACATCCTCCTGCCCTTCCCGGTCAAGCTACCCAGCACGGGTCTCCAGAAAGAGGATGTCTCCCAGAGGCCATAGGACCCGCCTGCCCCTGTCATTGCTCCAGGGCTTAGCCGGGGCCCTGCAGGTCCTGTACCACGGCAGCCCCCTCAGGGGAGAGTTGGTGGCTCCTGGCAGCCAGTGGCCAAAGCAGCACCAGCTCGGCCTCCAGCATTGTTAAGGGCCGCAGGGTGAGACCCTGGGTGAAGAGCCCGTGCTGCATCCCGTGCCGACACTGAGGAGCAGGGGGAGGCTGTGAAGAGCCATGCTGGGAACCCCTTCCGGATATGGTTCCTGATCCTGGCCCTGGTTGGCCTGGCAGGACCTGATCTGGCTCTAGGAGAGGCACCGGGTCGGGTGGGGCTCACCTGTGGCTGGTGCAGGATCCCAGGAGAGAGGGAGGCTACCTGGAGTGAGAGTGCAGGTGAGGGATAGTGTGGATGCATGGGCAGGAGCCACTGTCCCGGCACGCCTCACCTCCGTTAGTACATGGTGTGTGCATGTGTGCACAGCCCCGGACACGGGTCTACGCTGAGCAGGTGTCTGTGGGGTGTGCCTGTGCGTAAGGGGCTCTGGGACTGGATTGCAGAGAGCTCCTCTAGGGACACCCCACATCTCATGCCGATTTCAGAAGTTGAAAAGATGAATTCTAAGAAACAACATCATTCAAAGACATCCAAGGTAAAACTATCTGAAGTCTTGGCCCACATGGGGCAGGAGGAGGAACAGGAAGAGGGTTTTGTTCTACTTCAGACTAGATACCATATGGAGCCCCCAAACCTAGCTCCAGGCCTGGCCTAAGTCCCACTGGGAGAAGCAGGCCAGCCGGAAGACATTGCTGGGCACTGGCGGGGGTGGGGGTGGGGGGTGTGGGCTGGCCTTCCTCTGTCCCTGGTTTTCAGTCAGGGGAGTCCTCTAGGCTTAGAGGGGCCAGAGAGCTGACTTTAAAACCCCAAAGACAGCAGAGATCTAACTGTCAGCATTTCTGCATGATGCCACAATATGCTGAGTGTCTGATGCTCATGTCCAGCCCACTCAGAGGAAGGGGCATGCCCATTTCACAGATGCAGAAACTGAGGTAAAAAAAAATCAAAGGAGCGCCAGGTAGAGTCACCTCTCCAGCCAAAGGGCCTCCTCCTGCTCCATGTCTCTGGACCACTGTGTTGAGACAAAAGGCAGGAAGAGAAGAAGGTCAGGCCCTCTTCTCACACCAGCTGAAAGATGAGGCTACGTGACCTACATCTTTCTTCTAGCTGGGAATAAGGGCCAGGTCCTATTTGGTTCTCCCTGGTCCTCAGCAACTGGTAGAAAACCCTGTTGCCCTAATCTTCTACATGGCCCTGTCCTGAGCGAGCTCTGAGGCCCTCTCAGAGCTCACTCCCAGAGTCAAGCAAAGCTCCCAGCTGGAACTCGGGTTTGGGGGTTGGCAGGTGAAGCCAAGGGACCAGATGTCCCCCCAAGTCTGCTGTTGTACGCCCAGGATCAAGGCTGTGTCCCAGGCACAGTCCAGTACACTCGGATGACATGGACCCACAGACCTATTCTCTCAGTGAGCCACAGAGAGGCAGGTAGCAACCTTTCCATCTTCCAGGCTCCTGGGCTCAGCCTGCGTTCAGCTCAGAAGGCAGCATGGCCAAGCTTCCCAGCCCCAGAGGTGGGCAGGCAGACCTGGGTGTGAATCCTGCTCACTGTGGGAATTGGGCCAGACAGCCCCCCAACCAGAGCATCCGTCTCCTCCTTGGCATGGATGCCTGTCCTTCATTGCCGTGGGGCTTGACCGAGAACAAAGGTGCTTGGCTCATGGCCAGGGCTGCACAGATGGAAGCCTACAGAACGTCAAGTGGGAGGCCCCTTCTCTGTTCCCTCTTCCTATCTGCCTTCCTGAGAGCCAGTCGGAGACCAGACCCCAAAGCCTGGGCACCCACCCTTCCTGCCAGCCTCAAAGTCCTACAGAAATCCATGGAGACAGCCTCCAGAGGGACTGGGGTGGCCAGGGTGAGCCCTGGGCATCCAGAACCAAGAAGACAACAGCCTTCCTCTGACATAGTCAACCTATACTGAGGGCCTACTGTGCGCCATGTGCTGGGGATATTAAAAAGCCATCGGCAGGGAGCACTCATAGCTGAGGGAATGCTTGTAGCATCCCGGGGTGGGGGGGCTGCCCATAGAAGGGCCCTCCCAGCAGCCCCTGACCCTGTCTCCTGCCCCTGGCCAGGGCACTGCACAAACCAAACAACAGTCTCCAGAGGCACATTTGAGCCCCCCAGGAGGAAAAGACAGGACGCCAAGTTTAGTTTCCTCCTAACCATCAACCCCACCGTGCCTGCAAGGGGGGAGATGTATATGTATGTACGAATATGCATATACATGTGTATATGAAATCCACGGAAAGTCAGGGCTGTGCAGGACCACGTTTTGTTTGTTTTGAGCCGTTGGAGGAGCTGCCCCTGTCCCGTTGTCGTCCCCTGTTGGCAGGCGGCTGGGGCCCCACCTGGAGGCACCCCTCCCCCCAGCGGACTGCCAGTCTGGGAGAAGGGGTAGGAAGTTGGGGCTGGTTGAAAAAGAATTTTTTTTCTTGAAACCCACCCCCTTTTTTTTTTTTTTTAACTCGTTGCTGCCCTGCTGCCGGCTTCCCCGCGGAGCCCGTCCTCCGATCTCACCCGGGCCCGCGGCGGCGCCGGCGGCGGCCCGGCCTCGCGTCCGCGTCTAACCTCTGGTATTGCATGTTCTGGGCAGGGAAGCGAGGGCGTCGCAGCAGTGCGGGATCGCTAGAGAGCAATGTGGAAGTAAGTAGGAAGCGCCTACGTCCAGCTGGCTGTCGCGTGTTGCCTCCCCAATCCTTGGTTTATACCTGTTGTCTTTTTTTTCCCGTCGTTTTGTTTTGTTCTGTTTTGCTGCTCCTCGCCCCTACTGCACAGGGGCGCAGACATGCCCCACGCCCCATGCCTGCCTCCGCCCCGCTGCATGCCAGCTTCGTCGCCTAGAGTCGCCCATGCCTCTCACCGCTTGTTTGGGCTGGACCCGTGGGGGGGTGGTTCTGGATTCTGTGTTTTAGTTTCCGCTTAACCCTGTCCCCGGTGGCCGCCCCCCCCCCCCCCACCGAGCATGGTTAACATCCCGGCTTCCCGGCACTCCCCCCGGGGTCCCCACCTGCCGGCACTGCTCCTGGGTGGGAGGCACCGCCGCCAGGCACCCATACACCCTCCACCCACGCTGTCCTGGGGGTGGGGGGGCGGGGGCAGGGCGGTTTTGCCGGTCTCTTGACTTCCATGCTCCGCCATCCCCATCGCTTCCTTCCTGGAGTTTCGATTGCTGTGTGTCTGCAGTCAGGGCAGTGTGGACTTGCTTAGCTAGCTCAGGGGAGGAGAGCCGTGAGAGAAAGAAAAATTCAGTGTGGATTTCATGAGATTTCATTCATCTTCCAACCATCTCTATATTACTGTTCTCATCTTAACCTCAGCTTGCAGACCTTTTTGTTTCCTTCTTTTTCCTTGTTTGGTTTGCAGTAGGTAGCTGCAGTGAAATGCCTAGGCAGCCCCACCACCCAGAACAAGGTTCCCCGAGCCCGTCCTGTCCCTACCACCAGCTTCCCAGAAACCTCGGGGCAGAGCAGATGCCCTTGCACCTGTGGAGAGGACCCAGGAGAGCGTAGGGTGCAATTTGAGCAGGACCGGGGTCCTTCATGCACACCAGCCCACCCCACTCCACGCCGCACACGCCGCTCACAGGCACCCCCAGGCCAGTTGTTCTGATCCGAAAGCTCGGGCCGCCTTCCGTGTCAGGACGAGAGCAGAAGTCACACTTGTGCTGCTGCTGCTGCTTTGACCAGACAGGAGGGTCCCTCGTGCCCTGCCCCACCCCCACTTCCCGCAGCCGAAGGCCACTTCTGAGTCCCTGCCGGCCCCCAGTAGCATGAGCGGAGGTGACGCTAACCCAGCCTCACCCAGCCCCGCCCTCGGCAGCCAGTGAGTTGAACTAAGGCTTAGCAGTCAGGGGGTGAACTTTTTACATTGAAAAAAAAAGAGAAGAAAAAAAAATCATTCTGGCATAAGTGCTTTAAGATCTTTTAATTTTGATTTCTATGAATTTCCTTTTTAGGGGTCCATCATTAGCAGTCCTCACATGCGCCGGAGAGCTACATCAACACGAGAGTGTCCATCTCGCCCACACCAGACTATGCCTAATTCATCCTCCCTCCTGGGCTCCTTATTTGGGAGTAAGAGAGGGAAGCCCCCTCCCCAGGCCCACCCGCCCCCAGCCCCTCCCCACCCGCCGGGCCTGCCCCACCCGCAGCACCCTGTGGCCAGCCAGCACCAAGGGCCTGTCGAGGGCCTGCCGCAGGCCCAGCTGCATGGGCACCGCCCCCAGTACTGCCACGTGCAGCAGAACCCGCCCCCCTACCACCACCATCACCACTACTACCCGCCCCAGCACGGCCAGCACGCACACCAGTACCACCACGGTCCCCACGGGGGGCACCCGCCCTACGGGGCCCATGTGCACAGCCACCCACCGCTGCCCTCGGCCCATGCCGGCCACCCGGGCCACCCGGGCCACGCAGCGCACCACCACGGGCAGCCCCCCGCCCCGCCGCCCCCCACCAGCAGCAAGGCCAAACCCAGCGGCATCAGCACAATTGTGTAGACAGTCTGGGCGGGGTCCCAGACTCCCTGGAACAGCTGCACACCACACAGAGTCATGCCCAGGGCGGCCAGCCTGAGACCAGACCCGGGGCACTTGTGTTTCCACCTCTCCCCTCCGCTCCCCATGGCCTGGATGGAGCCCCCTGAGCCCACGGGGCTTATGTTGTGGGAACAAAGCTCCCGATCGCACTTAGCGTGGGCGTCCCGCGTTCCCTCCACTTGGACCCCAGGGGTGGGCCTCGGCCACCATCAGCCTTGAAAACGGTGCCACGGGCCACGTAGCTGTTGAACTGCCCCCCACCCCAAAGCAGCCCTCAGCTCTGCTCCCTAACTGTACACGCCTATGAAAACCCAGCCTAGGAAAAGAAGAAACGAGACACAAAAACCAGAGACAGAACAAAACAAAACAAAACAAAACAAACAAAAAACCCAGAACTTGCTGCATTTATTGCTCTTTTATTGACAATGGGCAAAAAATTAAGTAGACCTGATATGGTTGATGAAAATACCGTAAGTAAACTTTATATAATATAAATATATAAATATATAAATATATATATATATATACTGTATAGGTAGTATTTGTGTGTGAAAGGAAACGTCTCAGTCCACAAAATTAGCAATATAGACTTTACAAGGAGCTCCACTTACCTGATAAGAAGACAGTACCTTACATGAATGTGTGAGAGAGAGTAAACCAAAAACGTAAATGCTAGGAACAAATTCAGATACTTCCATATTTTCATAAAAAGAAGAGAAGTCCCTCCAGGACTGGCTAAAATCTTTATGCGATCATTACTAACTGTGCCAAGTAACATAGCATCTAACTGTTTAAAAAGTCCAATATTGCTTTGTATAAATCCTTATTTTATTAACAGAAAACTATCATGAGTACTCAGTATTATAACTGCTCTGTTATTTCAGGTAAGCAAATAGATAAAAATGCAGTAAACTCTACAGTAGCAACTCGGGACAACCAGTAACTGGTTGTCTGAGGATATTGGTTACACAGATTCTTAGACACTTTAATGGCTGCGATAACTGTGAATTTCCATGATCCATATTTCTTTTATATGCATATGATTTAATGCACACTCATTCAGAGTCCTCCGAGGGGGGGCACCCATCCACGGCAGAAGTGTCCATCTCCAACATGAAAACGGCCAGCTCCCATCCTCGTCCCCCCAACACCATAACTTACTCATCCTGTCTCCACTGCAACAGGCACGAGCCCCGGAGCGAGTTTCCGCCGGGAACCGCTCCGAGCCCGAACGCGGATTCTAGCATGTAGCAACCCAGGGCGGTGTGTGTGTTTCCCATTTTGTTTTCTGAGTGGTAGCCGTGATCATCGTGATTCCATGTGGCCATGTGCTAGCACAACACCCCCCCCCCTCGCCGTGTCATCACCGTGGCCCCTCTGACCCCGGCCACGAGTGCCGGCCCTCGCCAGCGAAGCCCCCCGCTGCCTTCTCATGGTCCAGTTAGCTGCCAGGGCATCAACATGACTCTCAGCTGTGCTCTTGTCGCTTCCGTGTTGTGGTGACACCATCTGCCCCCCTGGGGCTGGGCGCCGCAGGCGTCCGGTTCTGTGACTGAGTCACCCACGGGCCGTACTTTGTAGTTTCAGCCCTTCGAGCCACTGCAGCCGCCAGTGCTGTGCTCCTAAGCCGTGGGACCCGAGGACTGCCCCACGGCCCCTGCCCCGGCGGAGAGCCCTTTCAGAAAGGGCGAAGCTAGTGCGGGACTCTGCGGGCCGCGGGCTCCGCGCTCCGTGGATGGCGTGGCGTGCCGTGGCCAGATGGCAGGACGACCGAGGGGAGCCCACCTGGCGGGCCAGCGGGGGGGGGGGTCCTGCCCGTCTCCCTCCCCACCCACCCCTTTATCATATCATCAAGGCCACCATACCAGCAAATCTGCAAACCGAGCACTTTGTTAATCTCCACAGAGAGCAAATACAGCAATCTAGAGTTTAGCCTTTTTTTTTTTTTTTTTTTTGGAAGAAGCGTGACTTTAACCTGCCCACCTTTATCTTCCCATCGGTGTCGTATTTCTCTCCCAGAAGGAGAGAAGTAAGAAGCACGGGTGTGTCTGATTTGGTCCAGGCTGGCGGGAGGCTCCCCGCTCCTGCTGGCTCCTAAATTCCTTGGTTTCCCTGCAGAGTCAGGCTCCCCGAGGCATTCTCTGTCTTGCAGTTTAAAGGATGTTGTTCTGACCAGGAACAGTTGAATTGTACTGCATGTCAGTCGTGCGAGGCCACACTCTATGTATTGTGTATTTGCAAACTATATCAGTGTTACTGTTGACAAATAGTTGAAGTAAAGTGGTAACATATGAAATATGTCGGCTTTTCTTCACCCTCTGTACCAATAGTAAAGTCTAACTGTAAACTCGAGGTTGTTCCAGAAAAGATACAGGCTGTTTGGCGCCAGATTGCCCTTTCCGAAGGGACAACCACTAATGAGAAAGAAGAGAGGGCGAAGCCGATGGCCAGGGTGGGGGGCTCTGTCCATCGCTGTCCTTCGTGCTCCACGGCCATTCCGAACCTTCACCTCCAAAGCTGCCATCCGTGTGTCCTGAGGCTTTGTTGGGGCGTCACAGGGCCGGATCTAGCGAAAGGGGGCTTCTTGAACAAATTCCGTTTCTCCCCATGTTTCCAACTTCACACAGTGTGTTGGGCTCAGGTCAGTGGGGTTTCATCAATCCTTTGTGGCATATTTACAAACTTACCATGGGAAATGCTTCCAGAAGGTACATTGTTCCACTAAGGAAGCTGGAGCCGCGCTGCCCAAGTCTCGTCTGGGCAGCAAAACCTTCTGACAGATTGCTGTGTCCCCCCCGCCCCCAGTGTTGCTTTCGTGGGACTGTTCTTTCTAGACCCCAGCCTGCCACAGAGTCACAGCTGTGGGGGCCTGTCTTCCGCCACCCCGCCCCCCCCCCCCGATAGGCAGCAGGAAGCTGAGCACTGCACTGTCAGGACACACTGGGGACATTTCTCTCAAGTCGCACAAATTGTTCCAATTAAACAGTAATTGCTGACAGGAGCAGGAGACCCATAGCGGAAGTGGCTGATAGCATCACAAAAATCTTTTCTGGGACAACAATTAAATCATGTATTTGTATTTTTTTTTAAGTTTATGAACGAATTGTACAACAATGTAAAAATAAAGTTCATCCTAATATGGTGTGCACATCTTGCTTAAAAATGTCTTCGGTCATCCAGTGTAGAGCGATTTTTCCATCCCACGCTGCATGCAGCAGAAGCCTCTTGTTTTTCTTTAAAATGAGCTGAAAAGACAGCAGATACTTAAACATGACCCTAGGTGTTGACTCAGCGTTCTGTATGAAGCTGTGTCTCCACAGGTAAGCATGCATCTTACAGTTTCGTTGTAAAATATCATCTCCCTTCCTGCCCGGAAATGGAGTAATTCTGTAAAGTGTCTTCAATCACAACAATAATCAAGGAAACAGATGGCGAAACAAATCAGTGTGAAGTGGGGGTGGTGAAAAGGGACAGGCGGGAGGAGCTGTGTTTCCCCTAGCCGGCGGGCGCGCACCCTAGCCTAACTGCGGCCACATCGAGGCCCCACACAGGAGCCGTCTCCTCCTGGGAACTGTCTGTCGTTCACCTTCTAGTTGTTTTAACCGATTAGCATCAGGTCTTGAATGCAGACCGTTCAAAGACTTCGAGAGACCCCTCGCTCCCAAGAGGCCCGGTACCCGCTGTGTAACTTTGGGCAGGAAAGGAGTGCTTTTGTTTTAATATGCATTCTGTTTGTGAGTAGTAACAGACTCTATTGATGTAAAACCATAGCTGTGATCACGTGGAGAAATCAAATAAATCCTTTAAAACTCTCGGGTTTTTACTTTGTCTGAAAAGTCCAGCTGTTTCCCTATGGAGCAGACACAGAGAGCTCTCCAGCTGACCACTTGGCCCCGTCCTTGTCGTGACTGCTAGCAGCAGCTTTCCTGGAAGACACGGGACCAGGGGCGCCTGGGGGCCTTAGTCGGTTAAGTGTCTGCTTTCGGCTCAGGTCATGATCCCGGGGTCCTGGGATCGAGCCCCACATCGGGCTCCCTGCTCAGCGGGAAGCCTGCTTCTCCCTCTCCCACTCCCCCTGCTTGTGTTCCCTCTCTCGCTGTGTCTCTCTCTCTGTCAAATAAATAAATAAAATCTTAAAAAAAAAAAAAAGACACGGGACTGACTTTAATCGAGGGTGCTGCTATAAGACTTAAAGGTACGCATCACAATGTAGGCACGGATGGAAGTTTTCAAAGGGATTTATAATTTCTAGCCACTTTCAACAAATTTGGTGGTTCATTGAGTTAGAGAGGAGCTGGCTTCTTTGGGGTGTTGAAGTGGACTGGGAACTCCGTGGGGGGAGCCAGTCCCCAGATGCTGGAGGAGAGATGATTTTATGAGGTCAAAGCAGCCATTTTTCCACGCGATGGTGAATATGATGTGCAAAAACCAGGAAGGTGAATTCTGGTTCACCCGTGAGAACATGATGGGCTTGTACAATTTCTCCTTTCCCGGAACCAAATTCAGCTCCAGAGAATACCGCCTTCAAGTTTCCATTTCGTACCAGAAAGTGAAGTAAAACTGGTAGATCTCATTTGTGGAACTCAAAAAAGGTTAATTTTAGGGACCAAAATGAGCTGTGGCCCACCCCTCATAGAGAAGTGACTTGGGATCAAAAGAGGTGCTCAGACTTGTGCAGCTGGGGGGCCATTCCTTTTCCAGGCTACTCCGAGGCTCTTCAGGGGGTAAAGCTGGTCACTGAAATTCCCTGAAACACTTAGCTGTACTTTTGTGTCTGACGTCATGATGCATGCACAGGGCTGCGTTCCCCAGCTGCTTGGTGTAGGTGAGCTGCTAAGCCACCGCTTGGAGGGAAAGATTCTCTGGGTATTGTGTTTGTCTCCCCCACCAGACTGTGAGCTCCCTCCCACTTCTCTGTGTCCGGTGACCAAGCACAGGACTGGTCTTGTCAAAATCCATCTGAAAATGAGCTGATGGTTGCAAGGGGGAGTGGGAGGGCATAGCAGAACCACTGGGCTGATCTTAGCCTGTGTAAATCACCACCACCCTCAAAAATGTACAGAAGCCTGTTCGCTCAGCCGTTTGCTACCCTTGCCATTGAGAATTCTGGCTGGGGCCACACAGGACACAGTCAGACTTCTACAAGAGTGGTTCATACTGGCCGTTTCCAGCCCCCACACGCTGCACGTTTTTAGCCTTCATTTTACTTGACCTCTGGGCAGCTTCCAATACTGTTCACACATATTCCTTCCTGAAACACTTTCCCGCGTGCCTGGGTGGCTCAGTCAGTTAAGCATCTGCCTTCGGCTCAGGTCATGGGTCCTGGGATCGAGCCCCGCATCAGGCTCCTTGCTCAGCGAGGAGTCTACTTCTCCCTCTGCTTCTCTGCTTCTCCTTCTTCCTCTGCTGCTCCCCCTGCTTTGTGCTCTCTCATTCTTGCTCTCTCTCAAATAAATAAAAATTAAAAAAAAAAAGAAAAGAAAAGAAAAAGAAACACTGTCTCCTTAACATCTTCTATCCCACTCTCTTCCTCTCTGAGGACGCCCTCAAGTCCCCTTTGCAGGGTAATACTCCTCTGTGGAGCCTTGCAGGGTGGGTTTGAGGACCAGGCCCAAGCCTCTTCCTTCACTTCTCTCTCCAGGCCTGCAGTTTCAGCCAACCTGTGTGCACCCGCAGCTTGCAAATTTGCATGTCCAGCCCAGACCTCTGTTCCAAGCACTGTGTTCCCTTGGATCTCTCAATCATGCCCCAAACTCTTTATGTCCACCACCACCCTCATAGTCTCACACAGATACACACCTGAAACCGAGGCCCCTGCTGTGTTCCCTGTTTGGGCAAATGGCACCACCACTGAGCTGTACACACCAGGACTTAAGAACTGTTCTTGACACTTGTCCTTTCTTTTGACTTTCCAAGTCCATTCTGTCACCAAGCCTTTTAGATTTTTGCCTCCGACATATTGAGTCTATCCATTTCTGCACATCTCTCCCCTGGCCTGGAGCTCCCTGACTGGTCTCCCAGATGCCACAGCGCCCCCCTCAACCCATTCTCCACGTGGCATCAGAGGAATCTTCTTAAGGGGCATCCCGCTTAAAGCCAAGTCAGTGGCTTCCTATTGGCCTTATGATTAGAAAAATAAGAAGATCCTTGGGACGCCTGGGTGGCTCAGTCGGTTAAGTGTCTGCCTTTGGCTCAGGTCATGATCCCGGGGTCCTGGGATCGAGCCCCGCATCAGGCTCCCTGCTGAGCAGGGAGCCTGCTTCTCCCTCTCCTTCTGACTCTCCCCACCATTCATGCTCTCTCTTTTTATCTCTATCGCTAACTCTGTCTCTCTCAAATAAATAAAATCTTTAAAAAAAAAAGATCCTTAATGAGGCCTTCATGAGGCCTGTGTGATCTGACATAACCCTCACTTTCCCCTTGCTCTCTAGCCCTTCAGATGCCCAGACAAGCTGTTTCCTCCTGCCTCTGGGCCTGTGCAAGCGTTCTCTCCCTTCCCCCAACAGTGGGATGCTTTTCTTCCCATCTTCATTTAGTTAGCTCCTAGTTCATCCAACAAACTTTAGTTCAGCCATTACTCCCTCTGAGATGCATCCCTTGTAGTTATATATGGTGTGCTCACTGCGACAGCGGACGTCACCAGGTCGGGACAGTGGTGGCTCTTGTACCTGCTGTCATCTCAACACACAGCAGAAGCAGAACTGCCATGAATGTTTGTTGACTGAATAAACAAACACCTAGGACCAAAGATGGAATTCGGCACTGAAATGCACGATACAATTTAGTGGCTCAAAATGAGATCAGAGATCTAGGGAAGCAGCTTGGGGCCAGGGTGCTGGGTAGAGGCCAGCATTCCTCACTACTTCCAGGAACACTTGGAGCAGTGGTTGGAGGCTTTTAATCATTGTTTTAGCTTTCACCAAATGTGTTCTAACATTTAGAGCATTTGGAAAGAATAGATTCATACAAAGCAGGGAAAACCCTCACCTACAATCCCACCACCCAAAAACAGTTATAATTATTAGGTCTACTTGCTTTGCATCTTCTCTTCACACATATTCTCAATTACCTGGTTCAGATCTTCTATGTATGTCCCAAAAGCTTTGTAAGTGTTCTTTGGTACCCATCATGAACAAATAGTTCACAAGCAAAAACGATGTAGGAAAAGCCAGATTAGACAAAGTTACACTGGTTTTTTACTGCAGGACTTCTCAGAGCCTTTGAAAGGATGATGTGCATTATGAATCTCTGAAAGACAGTCTGTGCCATGTTTCCCAAACTTACTGAGCCGTGGAACTCTTGCACTCTACAGCATACAGTTTAGTACAAGTTTGTATGTGTAAATTTTGTTTTTCCCCTTATAATGAAAGACTCAATGGTTTATAATGTCTGCATAATGGCCCATCATATGGATGTTGCACGATGTACTTGGCATACAGAGAGTGTTATTTTGGTGAACAAGGAAGACACAGAAGGAAATCCTAGAGTTTCTGAGTGGGTTTGGTGATTCTGGTAAGGATGTGAGACCTGGAGAAGTTGGACACCCCTGAATCTAACTTTACTGCTGAGTTCCTGGGACGAACATTGACACCAGTTTGGCAACTCTGGGTAACCTTGTGTCAGCTGAGATGCCACTCATTCAGTGTTTTCAAGTCAGTGCTCACTTCCCAATGGAACCCATCCCACTTCTCAGCACAGAGTGGGCTGTAATAAAGATTTATTGGCTGGCTGATGGCAGGGATGTCATGAAGGCTAATTTCTCCCATTTCTAATGTGCAGCTTCGTGACTGTTGAGGCATTTATAGGGGAATCTTTTCTTCACTTCCTGTTACTCATAACACACTCCATCCTCACCTCCAGCATGACCACTGGTATTTCTCATCTCCCATGGAGTTAGTAGGGAAGAAGCCATTCTAAAATAAAAATGCCTGAGGGTAATCACAGCCACCTCAATAGGAATGTCTCCCCACATCCTTTAAGAACTGTTCAGGAGAGGAGCTAGTGCAAGATGGCAGAGGAGTAGGAGACCTTAGTTTTGTCTGGTCCCAGGAATTCAGCTAGAGAGCTACAAAATCATTCTGAACCTGCAAACTCAACCGGAGACCAAAGAAAAGAATGCAACTCTACAAATAAAAAAGCGACCACTTTCGGCAGGAATGACAAGACGGAAAAACTCACTTCCAAAAAGAGAACAAGAGGCAGCACTGACTGCCAGGGACCTAATCAGTATGGATAGAAGTAAGATGTCAGAACTAGAGTTCAGAACAATGATTATAAAGATACTAGCTGGGCTTGAAAAAAGCATAGAAGACACTAGAGAATCCCTTTCGGGAGAAATAACTAAAATCTAACCAACTTGAAATCAAAAAGGCTATTAATGAGATGCAATAAAAAATGGAGGCTCTAACTGCTAGGATAAATGAGGCAGAAGATAGAATTAGTGATATAGAAGACCAAATGATGGAGAATAAAGAAGCTGGGAAAAAGAGACATGAACAACTACTGGATCACGAGGGGAGCATTCAAGAGGTAAGGGATGCCATAAAATGAAACAATATTAGAATAATTGGGATCCTAGAAGAAGAGGAGAGAGAGAGAGAGAGGCAGAAGGTATATTGGGGCAAATTATAGTGGAGAACTTCCCTAATCTGGGGAGGAAAGCAAGCATTCAAGTCCAGGAGGCACAGAGAACCCCAGCTCAAAATCAATAAAAATAGGTCAACACCTTGACATATGATAGTGAAACTTGCAAATCTCAAAGACAAAGAAAATACTGAAAGCGGCTCAGGACAAGAGGTCCATAGCCTACAGG